AGGTTGCACTATTTGCATATTACACAAATGTTTGTGGGAATATTCCACGCGAATATTCGCGTCTGCCGACACTAAAAAAAAAAGGTGGAAATATTCCGCATGGATATGTGGCTGCCGACACTCAAAAAAATAAAATAAATAAATAAATAAATGGGATGCCTTTATAAGGTTTTCAAATTTTTTTTCTCCCATCCACCGGTGATTGGTCTCTCCTTCTTCTTCCTTGCTCTTTTCTTCTTTTTCTTCTTCTTCGTCGTTCTCTCTGTTCTCTGTAAAAACAAACCACCCCTGCAAATCCATGACCATATACGCCGACGACCCAGTCCTTTGTTTAATAATTTGCCTTATATGTTTGTATTTGTTCATGGGTGCTCTTTTTCTGCTCACACTTAGGGTGAGGGGTTTCCAGCCTAACCCAAATCTCCCTCGAGTGGGTTAATTGTTTGTTTTGTTTGTTGGTTTCGGCAGCTAAACAGATCTTTACACCCACCGCTTTTTCCTCTTTCTTCGTCTTCTTCTTCTTCTTATTTCTATTGTGCTATTCTCTATAACACGACCCAACTCCCAAAAATCCCATGACCATATTCCCCGAAGACCCAGTCGTTTGTCTCATGCTCGGCATTTGTTTACTCTATTTGTACATGACTCTTCTTCTTCTGTCTGCATTTAAAATCAAGGGTTTTTGTCCTAGCGAAAACCTAGATCTGCGTAGAGAAGATTAATTTGTGTATTTTCTTTGTAGGTTTCGACAGTTTAACAGATCTCTACCCTACAACTTGATCTCCAAACTCTACACACTGGTAAATTCGAAACATTGGGGACAATGTTCGGTTTAGGTTGGGGGGTGTGATCTACGATTCCAGTTTGTTATAGTTTCGTATTTAAAAAAAAAAAGATTGTTCTAGATTGCGTATTTTTACAGCATTTTTACTTATATTTCATGATCACATCAAATGTAGCGTTAATCGTCTTAGTGACTGACAGACGTTAAAGAACCAGATAGTGAGTCTTAAAGCATAGAAAACATGGATGTTAAAATTTTTGGTTTAGTTTGGGAGTCTTGCGCACATTTCCATCTGATGTGCATACTGTGATCATGAGAAAAGCAAGAGTAGTTAGAAAAATTGAAATCCGAGAAGCACAAGCAAAACCATTGTGTGGCAGAAGTACTTTTGCTAAACGTCGTCGTGCCAAACGACTGGGTGCTTGTAAACAATGTGGCAGGTGTTTTCACATGAAAAAATACAATCAGTGTTCTGAACCAATTTCGGGTTGTGCAACCGATCGATTAAACTGGATAGTGTATGGGCAGAGTAAGGATTTTCCTGAGACGTCATCTTATACCAGTCCGGGACTTACATGTTATGTGCGACAAGAAGTGGGAAGGGTCACTAATAATGACATAGACACAAGCGACGACTCGGATTAAATTTTAACTAATAATGACAAAGCTGTGAAAAAATGTGTTTTGGGGATGAAGGTTAATGGTTCGAATTTTTTTTTTTTTGTAAATATTTGTTTATGTACAAAGTCTTTTTGTTGAAATAAAGATGTGGGTCGAGTAAGGATTGTCCTAAAATGCCAACTTGTAGCGTGGGTAGGGACCTATCCTGAGACACCATAGTTTTCCAAGTTCAATATGTGCATTTAGTCTTTTTGTAAATTTTCATAGATAAATGTGTTTGTAAATAGTTTTAATTTTTATTCGAGTGAAAAAAAAAATCGCATTTCCTTGAAAAATGATATTTTCTCTATGCTTAAATGTCAAATGTACATTGATATTTGTTAATCTTAAGGTACAGAATGACCAGACTCAAAAATAGAATTATAATATAACTGACATTCTTTGGAAACCTGACATAACCAGTGGAGATAACGAAGAATATCATGGTAAGTTTTGAGCCTTACGATGCTTTCTGAGAGACAATCAACATTTACTCAAGTAAGCTCTTTCACTTTCAATTGTTGAATAATCTCATTAAACTTGCTTTGATTAAATGCAACTAAAGTAATCTATTGACATATCCTACAGGGAACCTTTGCATGCGACACAGGCACATACTTGAGAAAAGATTTTAGGCAATCTTTGAGTTGATTTTGAACTTAGCCATTGCTTCTACAAAAATATATCCCTAGTTAGCCATGTTTGAGCCTTCAATGAATGATGATTTTTTTTTCTCGAAAAACTCATATGATAACTGAGCCACACACACAAAAAAAATACACTTAACATACCTTGCTATCCAATTTTTTCTTGCACCCTCTTATAAATCGGTATGACATAGAAAGGCAAGAAAAACAGAAAAGAAGATGGTGGCTACTGTTCAACGAAGAATCGAAAAAAAAAATGAAAGAAATAAATATCATTTATAGGAAAAAGACTGAAAAGCAAGAAAGAGGTGTGCTACATTAAAAAAAGGGATAGCTTTTGAATACCATTGACGTCATTTCATTAGCCACTAACCTCTGGCCACATTACAACCTATAGAAAGTCCTAATTGATCTCAAGTCTAATGCATGTGTGCTGTCGACCAAAAATTGGGGTATGTTAAATAGTATTTCTTTAATTGCATTGATATTCTTCCATGAGATTATGCCAAGAACATGATTAGCCTACTTTCTTAAGACTTTCACTCCCTTTCTAACTGTGCATGTGATTTTTCGATTGACCATCCTCTGATCACATGCCCTTTGAGAGACAAGTCACTATAATCGGAGTGAATTTTTTGCTGAGAGCATTCTAAGAGAGATTTGAGAAATCAAAGCTATCCATGGAAGGTGATAAAGTAGAATGTTTGTTATATAACAATTCTTGCTACTAGAATGATCATTCCTACTACACAAGGAATTCCAAATACTAATGTAACAAGTGTTTATTTTTGTATAGAGTACGTACCAATGACAGAGAAGTGTTTGACAAACAATTCAAAATTAAGAGATGTGTGCCTCAATGATTATGTTGCTAACTCATTTTGACAAGAAATCTTACATATACACATCTTTTAATTGGAGTTTGTAGGTAGCTTCACTGGAAACCTTCACGAGACAAAACTCGTCTACTAGGGATCACCTAGGGGTTTAACGGCTTATTGCATATGCTAAATGCAATCGTGTTATCTACGAAAGTGATTTTATTTTGTTATGTTGTTTATTAATAGGGAATAGTAATATTTAGGTTGGGGGGTGTGATTAACCCTAATTAAGGCATAATTTAATAGGTAAATTGTGTTAGTTGAATAAAGTTAAACTAGTCAAAATAAATCAAATTAGAATTAGTGTGTGAATAAAGGATAATGCATTAATTGTTGTTCTTTTCAAGATTTTGTGCGTCAAAGCTACAAACTACTGGGGAGCCAATTGCATTAAAGCTACAAACTACTGGAGTGCCAATTATCAAAGCTCAAAACAAAGGGGATCAAAGAATTCAAGGCCACCTAACAAGATTTTCAAGTCCTCCTAACAAGATTCAAAGCCACCTAACAAGATTTTCAAGTCCACCTAACAAGATTCAAAGCCACCTAACAAGACTCTTCAAGTCCACCTAACAAAATTCAAGGCCACCTAACAAAACTTTTACCCTCCCTTGTTGCCTATAAATACCACTCCTTAAGACTTGTAAAGCATTCATCTTTTGGTAGTGAAAAACCCTCCAAAAGTATTATTGCTTTCCTTATTACTTATAACTTTCTTTAAGTATTGCTTTCTTTATTGTATTCTTGCTTCCTTTTAATTTATTGCTTTCTTTTACTTTAAGTATTGCTTTCTTTTATTGTGTTATTGCTTTCTTTTACTTCCATTGCTTGAGCTTCCTTCTTCCCTTAGAGGAGTGAAACTCTTCCACTTTTCTAGAGCTTTACCAAAGCCGTGAAGGGTGGAACGTGATTCACTCATTCTTTGTCGAAGATCGGCTCCTTGTGTAAAATGTGTTACCTTGTAACTTCTCTACTTGGAGGGATGAACATCACTCACTTTTCTAGTTTTAACAAAGCCATGAAGAGTGAGTAGTTTCTCATCCAATCTTTAGTAAGAGGTGGTTATCCGGAAGTTAAATTATGCAATTCGTTTATGCTTAGCTTTAGTCTTTATTTTTTTATAATGTCTTCTCATCATATTGTTGTCTTTATTTTAAGCATGAATAGCTAAATCTCTTAGTTGGCAAAACCAAGAGGAACCTCTACTTGGGTTTACCATTTCAACTCATTCTCCTCCCCTCTTTCAGAGTTCAATGGTTCGGTTTGACTGGGTTGAGGGTGGATAACTTGGTGAGTTTTTGATATTTCGTAGGCCTAGTCACGGTTTATGCTTAGATACTCACCAATCTTACCCTTAGCTTTCCACGAATCAATCGTTCATTCATGCTCTATTGGAGGAGGGTTTCGAGTTGAGACGGTATTCCTATTGGAGTGACCTCTTGGATTTGCCAACATTTGTTTCTCATTTTACTAGCATCAAAACAACTTCACCAAACAACTTCCAACAATCAAAATTTTTACACTTTCTTTCTCCCAAAATCACCTCCCCTCGGTTTTCTTCCTTCCCCATGGAAACGACTTTGGAATACCACCAAGTAAAACATAATCCGCGAAAGTCTCCTTGCGCTTGGGGAGCACTTTTGTTCACACATACTCACATTTGAAATCTCATTCATCCACCATTCCGTTGCCCTTTCTTTTGACATCATCCCTAGGAGAGTGACACTCCCCTTTATTCATATACTATACATGCTAAAAGGTGATGTTTATAGGTTAGGAAACAACAAGGAAATTTGTCAAGCAGACTGCCTATTGGACAGGGTACATATAAACCCTTAAGAGAATTCCTCATTCCTCCATCTCTTTCCCTTGCATCTTTTTTTTTGAACAATTTTCTAGCATAAGGAGCTTCATAGGAGGAAATAGAGATGGAAACTTTAATGGCAAAGCACACTACGATGAGATCGAGATCAGGTGGTGGTCATCTACCCATGCTCAGTGAAGCCCCGGGCGACTCCCCTTACCCACATGGTGGCGCCCACAAAGGCGACGCCTAAGGTGACATTGGCAGTGACCAAGAGGTTGGGGAGAAGAGGCGTGTATGAAGCAAACACCGAGTTGGGAGATGACGTCGTAATTGGAACGCTGGGCGGCGCCAACCAGGCACTGGGCGACGACAACCAATTGCAAGGTGGCAGTGAGCGCAAGGCAAGCGGGCGCGATGGCAGGCATAGACCAAGTGGCTCCAGTGACCTTGATGATGGTGGTTACGGGTCAGGCGATGACGTTGGTAGTCTAGACGATGGTGAGCATAGGCCAAATGGCTCAGACGTGTCAGCCTAAGAGCTAGACGACACCAACTTGCTGCTGGGCGACACTAATGCTCTGGGTGACGCTGCGACTACATTGGGCATCTTCGAGTTGGAAGACCTAGACAACACTAGAGTGGACAAAGGCCTTGACGATGTCGTTGTTGGTGTTGGCGATGCCAGGAGAGACACGAGCAACGCCAATAAGGTGGGCATGCTATGTTTCGATCCTCATGACAAACTAGAGGTTGCCAGTGTTGGTGGCGATGAACTAGGCAACAAACGTGAGCTTGGCAAAGCAGGCAAAGGTGGAGGACGACTTAGTGACCCCAACAACGCGCTGGGCGACACTAGTGGCATGTCGGGCCCTATGAGCTATGGTCCTGGTGAGCTAGTTGCACAAGTAAGGTGGTGAGGGATATGTGTAGGGGCGTTGTTCGTTGGCGTGGCGGTCTCTAGAGAGTAGCGAGGTACTGTCTTTCAACTACAATGTGGTCATCAAACTCTTTGTTAATTTCGACGCCCCCCCTATTTCATTGTCTTTTGTTGTTTTGTTAGGTGCCCAAGCCAACAAGGGTGGTATAGTGGAGATTAGGCAGGCTTCACAGTGAGGCAAAGAAGTTGTTGAGTATAGGACACTTTATTAGTTCCATAGATTGTGATGACAATATCGTTTGCATTATATCTTCATACTGTATTTCTCTTGTTGTTATGTGCCATCGAGCGGAGTGGGATGAGCCAGCATGTTTTGAATCCTCGAGAGAGATCATTTTTTATGAGGATGCATAGAGGCGGGGTTGAGGTTTCCAATACCTAGACCCATATGTCAGATTCTAGGACACTTGTCACTCACTCTGAAAAGACTGACACTGAATGGTTGGAGGATAATTTTGGCGTTCTTTTTGTTATATTGATTGGTCCACAGTGCTGATGTTCCTCCCTCTTTCGAGTAGTTTTTGACTTCATACATACTTTTGGATAACCCTACTCCTTATCAAGGGTGGTAATGCTTTGCCCTGAGGTCAGGCAAGCTTATTACTTGACTTCTCCCAAATTGTCACGGCTAGAAATCTAGGTTCTTCTTTGTTGGAAGTGAGTGGGCCGTCAAGGGAGATCATGACCTAGTGCCTTCAAGGTGGGACATGGCTCCACGGACCAAGCTAGGTCAAGGTTTTTACCTTTGCATTTACGTTTGATTGTCACGTATCTGTACTTACTATGTGGTCGGTTCCTTTGAAGCCCCCATGTTATCTCTAGTGCAAGAAAGTAGGCTCCAGGTCGTTCGGGATCATCCTTTCAAGGAGTTTTTGGCCATCATGTCTGCGTCAGGTCTTTCCAAAGCCTCTCCTAGGCAGAAGAGGAAAGGTATTTGATCATTTCAATCAACTTTTGGTGACTGTAACTCTATAGCTTCTTTGTCTTATACCAATTCTACAGGTTCAACTATTGATAGAGTGATGAGGGAGGCTCTTTTATGCTTCCAGGGTAGCATCTTCCCCTCCTTCCTCTAAGAGGGCAAAGTCTGATACCTCCAGCGCTTTCCAGCCAAGGTCCGTCTGCCAGGTTAGTTTCTAGGAGGCAGGATCCGTTGATGTCCCCACTCTTTCCACAGCTGTGACTCTATCGTATTCCAGAGCTAGCCGTAGTATGGATGTAGGGATTGAGGCTCTAGTGCGGTCTCCTACGAGGATAAGAGCTCCACTTTGCTGCCCTGCTTCAAGTAGTGGTTCAGTATCTATGTTACAGGACGTAAATCTGGCCAAAGAATGACTTTGGGGGTTTATGACCGTTGCGGAGATCTAAGAGGTCAGCTCTCGAGGTCCAGAGGGCATCATTGACATTAATATGTTAGGCTTTGCTATGATATACCTTTTACTCATCTTTTCCCTAATGTCTTACTTTTTGCGTGCTCGTAGGTGGCTGCCGCTTTTCCCTGCTTGTTCTCAACGACAATGAAGCTTGGAGAGACATTTAGAGATCTAACAGTAGAGAGGCAAGTAACAAGGGTTTTGAGGAGTAGTTGAGGCTAGCCCACGAAAGAGTTGCACCTCTTGAGATTGAGCTTCTGGCATCTTGCGAGAGAACTGCCTAACTAGAGGCTAACAGAAAGGCTGCCTGCGTGAGAGCAAAGGCAGTGCTGTGGACATCTCGTGATAGGGCTGCTGGAGTAGAGGCTAAGCTACGAATAGCCCAGGAAAGGGCTGCCGTGGCAGAGACTAACCTTCGAGCAGCTCTTGAGATCTCTACCAGGGTAGAGGCTCGCTCCATTGAAATGGAGAAGAGGAGGGAGACTATTGAGAGGGTCGTGGCAGACACCTTTATCGATGGTTATGAGGAATTAAGGGGAAAATCTCAATAGCTTTTTGGGCCTTTGACTTTTCTGGCTTCATCCTTTATAAGGCACCAGGGACTGATGGCGAGGAGGAGATCTTTGATGAGAGTGGATCGGGGAACAGTGAGTGATGTCAGGAGTACGGTACTTTTATTTACATGTTTCTCTTTTTGTTGCTAGGTCATGTTCTATTTTTTGTAAATAGTTTATGAACTTCTATGGAATGAGAGACAACTTTTGAAAAAGACAAAATCTTGCAAAATTTTATTTTATAATTTGAAGTATATAACGACAAAAATTAACTAAAACCACAAGAGATATTTAAATGATGGCTATTGACTTATGCACCCATTGACTTGCCCCTAGCTATTGGTAATATTTCTTCAGGTGCTCTACGTTCCACGGATAGGCCAGTGCTTTCCCCTCAGAGTTCTGAATTTTGTAGGTGTCTGGTCTTACAACTTTTGTGACTATATAGAGTCCTTCCCAGTTTGGGCTTAAATTCCATTCCCGAGAATCCTTGGTAGATAAGATGACCATTTTGAGGACCATGTCCCCAAGCAAGAAGAAGCGAGGTTTCACCCTCGAGTTGTAGTACTTGGTCATGTGATGCCTTATTTTATTAGTAGTAGGGTCATGGTGTTGGACCCTAAGAGAGTGTATCCCAATTTCGATCAGTATGACTGTTTTTGTCCCATAAGCTAAGGAGAAAAGGGTTTCACCTGTGGGGCTTCTTGCAGTTGTCCAATAGACCCATAGTTCTACTGGGAGCTCGTCTACCCATCGTCCCTTGGCGGTTTCCAGTTTGGTCTTTAGGTTGCAAAAAATGGTCATGACGGTGACCTCCACCTATTCGTTCTCTTGTGGATGGGCTGGATTGAAGTGGGGTTGCTTGATTTGTAGGTCGGCATAGAAGCTATTGAGGAGTTTGTTATCAAACTGTTTAGCATTATCACTTACTATGGCATGAGTTACTTCAAAACAACAGACTATGCTCCTCCAAATGAAGTCTTTCACCTTCTGGTCTGTTATCCCGACTAAGACTTTAGCTTTTGCTCATTTAATGAAGTAGTCAATGACTACCACCACAAATTTACGCTGGCCCCGACTCATGGGTAGGAGACCTAGAATGTCGATACCCTACATAGAGAAAAGCCATGGGCTTCAGATGGTGGTGAGCTCTTCTGGTGGCTACTTGGGCACTATTGCGAAGCGCTGAGATTTGTCACATTTCCTTATGAACTCATGGGTGTCTCTGATCATGCTAGGCCAACAATAACCCTGCCTTACTGCCTTGTGAGCTAGTGCACGCCCTCTTGAGTGGTTTTCACATATCCCCTCATGAATTTCTCTCATGGCATAATTGGCTTCCTCGGGGGAGAGGAGGTGGAGTAGGGGACGTGAGTAGCTTTTCTTGTAGAGAGTGTCAAGCAGGATCACATACCTGGATGTTCTCACTCTTAATTTTTTGGCTTCCACTAGGTTGTTTAAGAGAGTGTCTTCTTCTAGGTAGGCTCGGATGAGTGTCATCCAATTGGCTTTGGAGGATGCATACTTTACATCGTCCTCCTCTACCTTAAGCCTACTTGGCTCAAATTGGTGGCTTATTAGTGCTGGGCCCATGAGTATGTTTGCAGATGCAAACTTGACGATGTCATCTTTCATGACGTTCTCATATCTGGGCACATAGTGGATTTGGAAATGGGTAAACGTTTTTAACAAAGCCTGGACTATTGACATGCACTCTTGCATTTTTTCCTCCTTCGCTTCAAAGTCTCGCTTCACCTGATTTACTATAAGCTAGAAATCACTACAAGCTGTCAGGCGGAGGGCTTCCATCTCCATTACTTGTTTCAAGCCTGATATGAGAGCCTTGTACTCTACTTGGTTGTTTGATGCTACAAAGTGGAAGGAGACAACATACTTGAGTGGGGTGTCATGGGGTTTGATTAGTACTAGTCTTGCGCAACCACCCTTGCTGGTAGAGGATCCATCTACGCACAGTCCCCAACATGGTGCAGTAGATTGAGGTGTGAGTAACGAGGGCGTTGAGGGCTCTAGAGGGGTAGGTATAAGGGAGCTGGGTGCCTCTGGCCCCGAAGTATGGTCTCTAGGGGCCTGAGAGGCTATCTCCAAGACGTCAGGCTTTCTAGGGATAGTGTCTGAGTTTACCTCATGGTGACTTGAGACACAATGTATCGGACAGGTGAGCACAGGGGTACATGGTGGTTCTTCTTGTGATTGTTCTGGCAGTGTAGATTCAGCTACAATGTTTGTAATTGCATGCACCTTTATGGCTGCCCTCGGCTGGTACTGCATATTGAACTCGCCTAACTCGATAGCCCATTTAAGGAGTCGACCGGACACATGTAGTTTTCCTAGCATTCTCTTGAGTGGTTGATTTGTGACCACCATGATAGTGTGGCTCTGAAAGTAGTGGCATAGACGCCTGGCGTTGGTAACAAGGGCAAGGGACAACTTCTCCAGCTCTAAGATAGCCCTGATATCTCACCTCTACTCCTCAGTACACCTTACTTACATAATATATTGGCCTTGGACTCCTCCATCCTCCCTGATAAGGATAAAGCTCACGATAGAGGCTGAGTAAGAGAGGTAGATATATAGGGTCTCTCGTGGTATGGCATAAGAGAGCCAGAGGGGGGTAACGAGGTAGGCCTTTAACTTCTGGAAAGCCTCCTCTGCTTTTGGTCCCCATTGGAAAGATCTAAGTAGGATTTTAAAGAAAGGCAGACATTTGTTTGCAAATTTTGAGACAAACCTGCTAAGGGCTACTATGCTCCTGTTAAGGCATTGGACTTCCTTCATATAGGCTGGAGACTTCATCTCCAAGATAGCCCTGATATTGTCTGGGTGGGCCTCAATACCCCTCTTGTTTACCATAAAGCCTAGGAATTTTCCTTAGCTCAAGCCGAATGTGCACTTTGCAAGATTCAGTGTCATCCTATAGGCTCTTAAGATGTCAAAGGTCTCCTATAGATGTGTCACGTGGTCTGGCACAACTATGCTCTTCACCAACATGTCTTCCATGTAGAATTCCATGTTCGTCCCAATCTATGCCTCGA